CAGAGCTAAGCGTGGTGGTGCACGCCTGTAATCCCAGCACTCAGAAGACTGAGGCAGGAAGATCTGTGAGTTCAAAGCCAGCGTGGGCTACATCATGAGTTCAAGGACAGCCTGAACTATAAGTGACACCCTCCCTCAAAAACAAAAACAAAAACAAAACAAAACAAGTAAGTTCGGCTACTCCAAGCCATAGAAAAATCTTTTAGACTCATGTTTTGAAGCCAATATCATTTTAATACAAAAATCTTCTAAAAAGTATGGATTTGTAATTAGTCATTATTACTATAATAGATTAATCTCACTCATGATTAGGTGGTCAAAATTATAAAAAAGAAATTGCTTAGAGACATCTTCATTACAAAGGACAATGAACAAGAAAGGTTTATTCCACAACTGTAGAAGTGGTTTCACAGCCATTGTGATCACAGTCCATTCCATTCATTAACCAGGCAACTAGATGGACAATAGAAGCCTGGAAACTACAAAACGAAAGGTAGAGACTGGGTGTGGTGGTGCATGTCTGCAATCCCAGCACTTAGGAGGCTGAGGCAGGAGGATCATTGGGAGTATGAGGCCAGCCGGGACTACATAGTGAGTTCAAGGCCAACATGAACTACATAGCAAGACCCTGTCTCAAAACAAACAAACAAACAAACAAAGCTAGACATATTTGATAATATGTATTGAACATTTTAAATATAAGACAAAGCTTATCATAAAGTCAATGACAGTAGACCTAAAATAGTAATAAAATAAAAGCATACGACGGAAATGGGTTACTATTTTAATGTACAAAAAGCTCTTACAAGCTGATGAGAAACATGATTAACAACTCAGCAGGAAAAGTGCAACCAATATGAATGGCACTGTGGAAAGAGATCCACAGACACATGAAAAGACAATGAAATCCACTAGAGTCCGAGCGATAGTTGGGAGCTAAAGAGTAAGACAGCAAAAGTTGAAAGAAGCCACATTGTCCCTTGCTGTGGGTTAGGACACGAGCGTCACACCTGGTGGAGGAGACGTGAAGGGTGACAGCCTTTGGGGAGGGCGAGGCAGCTTTCATAAATAAATTAATGTTTCTGAAATGCTTAAAACTGTGTTACTTAAATGGTGAATGCTACACACGTATGTGTTAAATGAGAGAGACTTCGCTGAGAGAGAAAATACATACAGCTGTCAACTCAACAATTTGACTGCCAGGACTACAGGCTGGGCATGGAGCAGGGAAGCAAAGCAGGCCAGGCTCCGCCTCCGCGGGGCTCAGACTGGCCCCTGCCCTCTGCGTCCTCATCCCTCAGGAACCGGACAGCTATCTCGCGGGAGCGATGTGTTTGAGGAGCATTTGTGCAGGGCACAGTACTTCCGCTCTACACCCGGATCCGATATCCAGAACTCGGTAGGGACCTCAGGGACCCGGTGGCTTTCCAGAAGCCAGGAGAAATGAGGGATGAACGCAGGGCTGCACACCCAACCAGCAGGCAGAACAAACCACAAGCGAAGGGAGGAGATCGAAAGAGCGAAACAGGGTTTCGTGTAAGGTTCACAATTTAGATATTTGGCATTACTGGGTCGCACAGAGGAAATATCTAGCAACTAATGCAAAGTGTAAAGCCAGAGAGGTAGAGCTGTGGCTCTCAGCAGAGGTGCAAGTTAGGGTCACACAGTGATAGACCAAGTCCCTGGGGCAGAGGACGGTACCCCCAGGACTGAGGACTGGAGACCAGGCCACCAGTGTCGTTTTTTTACGACAATGTGACTGCAAGCACCATCCATGTTGGGAACCTTGTGTCCTGCATTCAAGGAAGGGCTGACATGCCTGTCCTCCTCCAATGGCAAACGACACATGTGGGAGGGGTTTGCCATGTAGCCAGCACCACACACTTTAGGGCTGCGTGACGGGTGACACTGCCCAAGTGCTAAGCGGGGGGTGGCGGCCTGGCCTCCTCACTCCCAGTCAGCCCTGCAGCTCCCTGACCTCCTCCAGACACTGCGTCCCACGGGGCGGTCCCTGCAGATTGCTCTTGTGGTTAAAGCCAGCCTGTCCACTCCCAGGCTTACTGCTCAGAGCTTAGTCATTTCTCAGGGTAGAGACAGGCACTAGGAACAGAAGTCAGACAGGGATCAGGGCAAGAGCCTCAGTGCAGGCCACGGTACTGAGAGCCTAGGAAGCGACAGTGGTGGCTACAGAGGGTGAAACTGTGCGAAGCCCAGGCCCCATGGGGGCTGTCAGTGCAGTTACTTAGATTTGCCTTTGGAGAAGAGTTCTGCCTTCAATGGGGTCTGAGTGCTTTGTGCAAAAGTACCTTCCATGTACCATTTCCTAGTGTGAACATTCATCTCCTAAGCTGTTTTCCACTTTATTGTATGAAGTATTTGGAAAAGATTTTGTTCCTATTTGATCTCACATATATGTGCTTAAATTTAGAAGAATTTCTAAAGTGATAAGGACACCCTCAGTCTTTCTCTACAATCTGTCAAAAAGAAAACGCAGGGCCAAGGATATAGCTCAGTGGGCAAGAGGATTTCAAGTTTAAGGCCATCCTGGGCAACTTAGTGAGACTGAGTCTCAAAATAGAAAACAAAAAGGGTTGAGATGTAGCTCAGTAGTAGAGCACCCCTGAGTTCAATGTCCAGTACCAGAAACAAACGAACACCGTAATATCTTTATCCCAAGGTGATTTCACCCTCCTTGGTACATGCAGAAACTTTAAGGGCTACTTTTTAAAAACTTGATGCTACTATATATCTGACATAAAGTCTACCTTTAAAGTGTCTTTAAAGGGATTAAGTCTATTTATACTGTACCATAAATCCCCACAATTTTTCCAGTTTGCAAAACCGAAACTCTGCCAGGTAAACAACAGCCCAGCACCTGCTCCCTGCCAGCCCCCAGCAACCATGCTTGAGGTTTTTTGTTACAGAACCAGTTCCTAGAAGCGCAGCCTTAACATGTCCCTGGAAAGTCAGAGCCTGGACATTTCTAGTCTAATTTCTAGGGTGGTCATGTGGCTGATCCACAGAACCCGTGATGTGGTCCAGACCTAGATGTGGAGTCGTAAACACTGTAAGAGGGACAGGGGGTTTGCACACAGGTGCAGCAGTTTCAAGCCAGGCCTCAGCCAATTGCCTGTGTGAAGCCACAGCAGCTCCCCAGCTGGAGAAATGGGTTGGGTTGAGTGGCCATTCATTCAGGAAATGTGTATGGGGGTGATCTGGGCCCAGGGTAGGATAGAAGAAATAAAAACTAATAAAAAGTAGGCAAGAAAATTGAGATTTTAAAATTAAGAAAAATTGTAGCCTCAAGACACAAAAGTTACTTGAGCCTTTTTTTAAAATTCTAAAGTTCGTTTTACAATAAGCCTTTGAATCAAGGCTCTTCACCTGTCCTTTCCACCTGCAAACTGCCTTCCTCCACCCCAGGGAGGCAGCGGATCTCAACTCCAAACACACGTACATGAGTGAGAACGCACATCCCAGATCTCCCGTCTTGCATTCACACAGCCCACTCCGGCTTGTAATGTGTGCTCCATTTTTCTCGTGAGTCCTATAAACCCTTCCTTCTCGTGTCTCTCTATGGAGGTGTCCTGAAAATTCTTCTGTGACAGGAGTCGGTGAACCAGCACACTTATTTTGAAAGGGTAGGACAGGTTTTGTAATTCAGCCTCAGGGACCTCACAGCCCCAGCCTGGAGACATGCCCATCCTGGCTCTGATTTGCCACGTCATCCAGGAAGATAAAGCAAAAATAAACGTGTGTACTCACGGCCACATCACTAGTCTCCAACATGCCTAGGAATATCCTTCCCCTCAAAAGAGCTGAGTTCACACAGCAGAGATAAAGAGGGCCACATCCCTAGTTGTTAAACAACTCGTCTTGTTTTCCACCATAAGGTTCTTTCACGGCATGAACACCAAAGTATTTGCCACGTGAGTGAATTTAGATCATGTTCATCGAATTTCTACCTCACATTTTGTAGGTGAAGAACAGAAGCTCAGAGACTGAGCAACCTTTCTGAGTCATGAAGCTAAAAAAGGGCAGAATGAGGATGAGACTGAAAAATTCTGGGTGAACTCGATGGTCTTCCACCTTCCCTTGCCCCCAGTTGTTAGTCACAGCTAGAAACGTGTTAATCAGTTGTCACCACACACATTCATTGAGCTCTTACTGCACAAGACCTGCAAGAGAAGCCGTCTCTCCCAGAGCTGGGGCAGCAATGGGGAAGAGACTGTGAATCATAATCCACCCACCCAACCACAGCAGGATGTGTTCACAGTTTATATACAAAATGCTTTTCGTGCAAAGGAGAAAGCTTTGTGCTGTTATCTGTTTGTTTCTTCTTTGTAAGAGAGAATCTTTTTTGTCTATGTCTTGTACTCTAACTACTTTGAAGATGATACACACTGTATCAGCTATTGTTATTCTCTTATTTTGCTATGAAAGTCTGTTATATTTTTTCATAAAATAAAAACATTATTTAAAAAAAAACATGCTGTGTTGGAAATCGATGTTTTTGGTCATAAAAGCACAGGAACCTCACCTCAGCTGACACTGGGGGTAGGAGGAGAGTTGACAAGCAAGAATTTTCCTTCTGAGGGGGTGAAGGGAGAGCAGGGATATGGGGAAAAACTGAGAACCAAGACCTGTCATAGAAAGGTACAAGATTCCAATGATGAATGTAACTGCACTGTAGACCTAAAATGTACCAATAAACTCAGTGAGAAAAAAAAATTTTTCCTTCTGAAAACAAAACTTCAGGCCCCTGCCCTAATTGCTGTTGGTGGCAGCCAGACAGATCCGAGTTTGCTCTGCATGGTGGGGGATTTAGTTATTTCATGGCAGTGTCCAAGTGCATTGTGGGTAGGATGTCTGCTCCCCACCCAGGCCCCCTGAAACTGGCCTTGGTATTTGCAAAGCCTGTGAAATAATGCATTCTATAAAGATTCATTTTACATACACTCTATGTAAAGCAAAATCAGAGTTAGGTGTGGACCACCTACCTGGATTTCCATCACTTGGGAGGCTGAAACAGGAATATCTCTGGGAGTTCAAGGCCAGCCTGGGATACACAGTGAGTTAAAGGCCAGCCTGCCTACACGGTGAGATCCTGTCTCAAAAAGCAAAACAAAAACAAGAGACAAACATCAGAATGGATGCCTGACTGGAGAAGTAAAGCTGCTCCTAGCATTTCTGCTCGTGCTGCTTTAGCAAGGGGAAGGGCCAGCGTCCCGTCTTCATCTCCAAACTAACCCAATAAAGGAAAAAATCGGCCCAAGAGCAAAAGTTCGAACTAACGGGGAGAGGGACCCACTTGTCTTCTGAGCAGACAGGAGAACAAGTTCCCTCACTGTTTCCCTAGTGTGCCTGCTTACAAATGAATTCGTGCCAATATTAATGAACAGCACGAACCTTTAGCGCTGGATGCTGTCAGACCTGTAATCTACAACAGACACAGTGCATCACTGTCTGGCCTCTTGTTTACAAAAACACAGCCAAGTGCTCTCCTGCAGAGCACAGCCCAGTATGACAGAGCCTGGCCTGTGCTTTGTGGGATGCTCCCAATTTCAAAGTCACAGAGTGCTTTGGGGACAAGGGACCACCCTGACTGAGGTCACCACGTCTGTCTCTGCCAGGGCACCTACCTGTCGTGTACCTTTCATAAGCAATTGCATGTCCTATGGCACCAAACTCCAAGTCGCAGAGCCTGTGAGATACATCACAGTCAGAGGCAGGAAGCGGCTCAGTCACCATCAGAGGACTACGCTGACTGACGCAGAGATGCTAAGTTGGCCTCTGGAGCATACGGCTGTGATCTCCGCCTTGATTTCCTGGAAGATCAGACAAACAACTCATTTTGGCTCGCAATGTGACTTAAGCAGGAGCTCCAGCAGACCCACTCCATTTCGGCTTGGTTCTTGGAGCCCTGTGTGGGAGCTCTCTGCAGGCCAGAGGCCCACAGCTTTTAGCCTCTGCACTGGTGTTGCTGGGCCAGCATACTGGGGCCCTGGGGAGCCAGCCAGCTTCTGGTCTTTGGAAATTAGGCTTTGCTAGAGCACAGCCAGGGTCCCCTGCTCATACTCTTGTCTTTGGCTGCTTTTACGCCTCAGGGACAGAGCTTAGTAGTGACCCAGAGCTTCTGATCCACTGAGCCTAAAATGTTTACCTCCGGCCTCCATTTCCTTTAAAGAATACCCTCCCCAACATGAGATCCTACCTATACCTGAGCTCTGTTCCTACCCACACCCTAGCACCCCTGCTTTGTGGGCTTCTGTGGTATTTTCCTATTGCTGTGACTATAGTCTGAGAACCTTCTCCTGCCCTCCCTGTGACCTCTCTGGCTGCAGGAACCACATCCTGTTTTCCTGTGTCGCCCCCCAGACTCCTCACGCAGAGTGGGGCATAGGGAACTGTGTGTTGGAGGATGGCAGTGGAAGATCCAGGGTAAGTAACAGATCCGGAAAGACCCCTCTTGGGGTCCAGTCAATGCTACTTCCTGGCCATAGCTCCACATGGATGGAGCGAGTCCCTTGACCTTTGTGGTCTCGGTTCTCCGTCTACAGAATGGAGAAACCTGAAACACAATCTGCCCTTAGCCTGCTGTCCATTGATGAGCAAGGACGGAAGGGTGAAGAGCAGTGGTTCCTGAGGAGCCTGAGGGAGAGGAAGCCATGGAGGCCGTTCACCCTTAGACCCTCTCCCACTCAGGGGTCTCCAGACACGTCCTCACCTGTGGCCGATGCTCCCTGCGCACAGGTCCAGGAGTAGACAGGCCCCGCTGGACACTCTCGGGACAGTCACTGCCCCAGAGGCATCTCTGCCTGACACACAAAGCACCCACGCCAGGTGGGCACAGCAAGCAAGAGTCTCCTCGAGCCGGACGGCCACCACCTGGCTCGAAATGCGGGCCCTTCTAAGCCCACGCCACCCATGAGCAAGTGGAGAGGGTCCAGCCCTCCTTCCTACCTCTCTCCAGCCTCAGGTAGAAGCAATGTTTTGTAGTTTTCAGGGTATAATTCCTTCATTTTTCTTGCTAAGTATTTTATTCTTTTGGCACAGATGTACAGAAATTACAACCCTTGAGCTTTGTTGGTGGGAATGTAAAATGGTACAGCACACTAGAAACAGTAAGGTGGGTCCTCAAATATTAAAACATAGAGACTGGGGAGGTAGCTGAGGGGGTAGAGTGTTTGCCTAGCATGTGAGTCCTGGGCTCGATCCCCAGCACACACCTACACACATAAAATTACCATATGATCTATCACTCCCACTTCTGTAGAAAGAATTGAAGCATGATCCTGAAGTTATATTTGCACATCTACACTCACAGCAGCATTATTCGCAATACCTAAGAAACAGAAGAGGGGCCGGGGATGTAGCTCAGCGGCTCGGTGGCCTGCCTTGCAAGCACAAGGACCCGAGTTCAATCCCCGGTACCAAAAAAAAAAAAAAAAAAAAAAAAAAAAA